CATTCTTACTTTACAGCATTTTTTCGCACCTGCCTAAAACTTTTGCACAGTACTGTATATTTCCTGGATTGATTGTGTGGGAGGGGCATGTTATAATGCCACTTCCTGGTTTATTTACCATTCCGGTTGCTTTTTCAATCGCAGTTTCACAAGCAATGAAATAGTGGGCAGGGAAATGAGATATGGTGCATCAGTTTGGTGTACAAGTAGTCCCTGCTTAATGACCACAATTGGGACTGGCAACTCTCTTGCTAAGCGATGCAGTCATTAAGCAAGACATCACGGAACCGTGATGGTCTTACAATCTCAGTTCCGCCATGGTCATTAAGCGAATCACCCGCAATCATTAAGCGAAACATCACATGACCACAACTTGTAATTTTACTGCTGGCTTCTCTGTTGACTCTGCTTGTTGGAATCTGGCTGTGAAACATGCAAATGGTGCTTGCATGACCACAGAATGCTGCAATGGTCATAAATGCCTGCTGGTTGCGAAGTGCCCAAATCTTGATCATGTGACTGCAGGGACACTACGATGCTTGTAAATGCAAGGACTGGTCATAAAGTTACTTTTTCAGCATTGTCATACCTTTGAATGGTGGCTAAACAGGGCAGTCATTAACCGAGGACTACCTGTAGTGGTTAAGGTGGTTGGATTGGGGAGTCCCAGGTTCAAATCCAGCCTCAGCTGTGGAAGCTACTGGACGACTTTAGGCCAATACTGTATCTCAGCAGTTTACCCCACAAGTTGTTTTCATGGGAAAAAAACTGCAGAAGAGAGTACCTGTCTTAAGCTCCAGCAGGAAAAGGTAAAATATCAAATAAATAATAAACATTACCGTAATCCTTCTTGCAATAGTTCCTCAAGTTCATATGGACACGTCTTTGTGGTGGTGTACAATGGCTCCGACATTCGGTATCTGGTGAACAAACAGGGTAGATGGGAGGGGTAAATCATTCTCCTGGGCAATATCTGACAGCGGTTAAGAAAATAAGCTTCACATTATTTTCACCAGAGCAGGATTAGGCAACCAGTTGTTCTCCTAGTATCTCAGGTACAATCAAGTACTGTCTGGAGCTTATGGGAGTTGTCCCAAAATTTTTGAAATCACTGGGCTACCTATCCCTGAAGTAGCTGCCAAGTGTGTCACTTTGCAGCAAGACACAGCACCGTTTCCTTTCCACAGTTCCTCTACCTGTTCTCAAGTTGACTGTCAGCTCCACTAGGTAGACCAGACCAGGAAATCAACTCCACAGGATGGCTAAAACGATTTTATTGAGATTGGATAGAACAGAATCTAGCAAGTCTGATTGTGCTGTACCTCCTCCCACTTCTTATACTCCCATGAATTAGGGAGGTGTTTGTTTGAGCTGCTTCTGAATGTTATATGGACATTCTGGACTTAAAGAATGCTTTGATCTCTTGTGTTTGGCAACAGAGCCTGCATATCTCTGTGAACATCATCTTTCTTACTCTTTGCACTGACTATGAGATTGTTTTTATTTTCTAGACCTCTGAGTGCAAAGAACCAGCAAAGAACATCATGGACCAATCAATGTTCTCCTTTAATATCTATATGAAGCCACTGGGTGAGATCACCATTCAACTATGGAGCCAAGTATTATCAATATCAGCGATATCCCATTATATGTCTCCACCCTAGGCCAACAGTGATACCGTTAAGGTCCTTTCCCAGTGTCTGGAGGGTTGTGAGGGTCTGAGGACTTTCCACGTTTGATCTTAGATGGGTTTACACCCCCCCAGACAGAACTGGGGTGCAATTTGGAGGTCCTCTTGGACTCTTGGTTCCTGTTGGAAGAGCAGGTGGTAGCCATGGCTGAAAGGGCCTTTGCACAAATCTGCCCTGCCTGTCAATTGCAGTGTTCCTGGATTGGAAGGCCCAATTCACTTCCTGCCCTAGTTACCTCCTGTCTAGACTACTGTAATGCACTGTACATAGGGCTGCTCGTGAAAACCACACAGAAGCTGCAATTGGTCTACAGTTCAGTGACATAAGTAGTTGCAGATGTACCTTGGTACACCATTGCTTTGTGTGCTCGCTCTCTATAAGCTTCCAGATACAATCAAGGTGCTGGTTATCACTTGCAAACTCGTTCATGGTACATGAGGGATCATTTACAGTTGTCTGTGCTTATCCCATGAGATCTAGAAGAGTGGACATGCTTGAGGTTCCTTCTATGACTTAATGTTACCAGGTGGGACCCAGGGGACATGCCTTCTCTGTTGCAGCACCTATGGGCCATCTTTCTCATAGAGGCTTGGATGGCCCCATCCCTTTTGTCCTTCTACAAGGCCCTATGTGGTGCTGGAGAAGACTCTGAAGAGTCCCTTGGACTGCTAGGAGGTCAAACCAGTCAATCTTAAAGGAAATCAACCCTGACTGCTCATTGGAAGGATTGATAATGAAGCTTAAGATCAGATACTTTGGTTACCTAATGTGAAGAGAGAACTTTTTGGAAAAGACCCTGATGCTGGGAAAGACAGAAGGCAAAAGGAGAAGGGGACGGCAGAGGATGTGATGGTTAGATAG